CCCGGAGCTGCGGGCTGCGGCCCGCTTTGGGCTGGGGAGGTGCAGGACAGGCAGGGCAAGCCCTGTCTTATGCAGTGAAGGCCACGACTGCTTCTCCACTGCCTTCTGTTGCTGCAGCTCCCTGCGGAGGGCACGCGTTGCTTCCCCTGCTACCCCTTCGCTTGCAGGTGCTTTGGCTGTGCCTGAGACCAGCCCAGGGCCTGGCACGAAGCCCGTGCTGTCCCCATTGCTCCAAATGCTCCAAGGAGCAGGACAGGCAGCACCGTCCCTGCTGCGGGCGCAGATAAGGCCTGGCCCAGCTTTGTGGCTGCTGCTCGCACCATAAATAGGACACGAGCTGCTCCCCCCTGCCCTTGTTGGCAGCGTCCGTCACCTCCCGGGCCGCGTTAGTGCCAGGGCACCTGTTCTGCATCTGATGTCAGCCCCAAATTGCCCCCAGGGGCTGCACCCAGATCATCTTCCCAGCCAAGCGAGCGCCCTGGGCGCGCAGCCGCCCTGCTCAGCCGTGCACGCGGCTCCCTGCTTCCTGCTGGATGCAGCAACAGGAACGAACGGGAAGATCCTCCCTCTGATCAGGGAGATCCCGCGCTGCCCTCCCTGCCCCAGCACCGGTGGGACCTGCCCGGGGCCCAGCATTGCCCCAGGAGCAGGAGACCCTCCCCCATGTCCCCCCGCGCGCAGGGACCGGCCCGTTGGCTTCGCCCGGTGCCCTCGCAGCCGTGGGGCCCTCCCAACACCACCCAGGCCTGAGTTTCGGGACAACACACAGAAGAAGCCAGGACCAACTCTTTTTTTTTTTTTTAAAACATTCTGTTTAATACATTATTAAAAATGAGAACAGTTTATTTTAACCTCTATCGACATAGTAAATACTGCAATCTGCCATGGGTTGGGGCTGTTGACATCTCCTGTGGTTGCTACAGCGCTGCGCGATGCCGCACTTGGGGTTTGTTCCTAAAAGCTGCTCAGTGAAGGCAGGTCCCCCCGGAGCCTGGGCTGCCGGGCTGGGTCAGCAGCGCTTCGTTTCCAGCAGCTTCACTTCATCCTGCGGCGGCACCAGGGCCTGGCCACGTCTTTGTGCTCCTTTCCTTGAAGTCCATCCGAGGGTGGCAGCAGCCTGGCTTCTTTCACCCGGAATAAACTTCTCTCTCTCATTTGCTTTAAATAAAACAATTACATGAATTCAAGTGCTGAGTCTGCTGGCAGCCTCTGTTTGCCTGTATCGCGCTGGTGGCTCCTTGCTGCCAGCGCCGGCCTGATGCAGCGAGTACCATGTGGCGGGCCTGGTTTGCAGAGCAAAAGTGAGGGGTGAGAGGAGTTTACGGTGGGGATGGAGGGCTAGCAGGAAGCCCCAGGGAAGAGAAGCTCATTTGCCCGGTGTTTTCAGCTTGCCCCTCTGCATCTAATCCAGAGGGGCCCAAAGTCCCCAGGGAGGCTCGGGCCAGGCTGCTCTATCTGGCTGGTGCCTCTGCTTGGAGGTGCCGGAGCGTTGGACTGCGACGCCCGGCCCCGGGACAGGTGGGATAAAGATGTGACGTGACTCGGGTAGGAAACAGGACCCCAGCGTTGTCACCAGATGCTGCGACCACACGAGATGCTGGCTCCTCTCGAAGCAGGGGGTGGGGGCACGGCTGGGGCCAGGGGTCTCGGCAGACGGATGGAGTCCGGGTGTCTCCCGGGAGCGCGGGAGGACCTCGGCCCTGGGGGCTGGCTGGGGGAGTTTGGACCCCCTGGATTAGGTGTCGTTCAGCCCCTCGTTTGTCCCGGCACCGCAGCTGGGCTCTCAGTCACGTTTCTTGCCGTCCCTGGGCCTGGCAGTGCCCTCCTTCCCTGGGGCCGGTGCCTGCTGCTCCCAGGGCTTCTTGCCCTTCTGCTCTCCTCGCTGCTGCCTCCAGTCCCGCTTGCGGCCGTCCTCGCGCTCGGCCTTGCCGGGGCGGCTCTTGCCCTCGTCCTTCCGATGCTCTTCCCGCTCCCTCCCTTCTCGCCTGCCCTCCTTGCCCGCCCGGCCCCGCTTCTTGTAGGGCTGCAGCTCCGGCTCCTTGGGCGCCCGCGGGGCTCTGCCGGCCTTGTCCTCGGGGGCTCTGTCCTTGGGTCGTGTCTCCTTCCTCTCTGTCGGGGCCGCACGACTTTCCTTGGGCTTCTCTTCTTTCCTTTCCGGACCTCTGGGCTTCTCTCGGCTCTTCTTCACCTCAACCTGGGCTGGAGGCTCCTCTGGTTCAGCTTCGGGCTCTTCCTCTTCATCCTCTGGCTCTTCCTCTTCATCCTCTGGCTCCAAGCGGCCAAACCATTTCTTGAAGATCCAGGGCTCGGCCTGTGAGGGGAGCAGAGCGGGCCGGGCGCTGGCTCCGTGCTCCCTGCAGCCCTGCTCTGCCCTCCCTGCCCGGCCAGGCCTGCAGACACCCGCCTGGGACCCCTTTCCCACCCATCCCTTGGGAGATGAGATGTTCCCACAAACGGGAAGTGCCCAGAAGCCGCTGTCCCCCGCACCAGCCCATACCAGGTTGCCGTCAGCATCACTGTCATCGTCCCCGTCATCGTCCCCATCAGTGTCCTCCAACAGGCTGCTCTCGGGCTGGACCGGTGGGGCAGCCACCACTTTTGGGACGTCCTCCTTGGTGTCGATGACCTCTAGGACAGGACTAGGGTGAGTCAACGCTCTGGGGAGGCCGAGGGCCTCCATCTCTGTGCACACACAGAGGCCAAGGCTGCGTGGATGCCTCGCGCCCCAGATTAACAGCCCACCCTGGTCGGTGGTGCCAGTTTAGCACAGGGCTCCTGGGACCACCCCACTCAGCCACTGGCTTCCCTGGGCATAGCCCAGTCTCAAGCCTGACCCAGAAGAGCAGGATGGGCCTGAGCTGGACCCCAGCTCCTGAACCTACCGTGCACGGGCAGCGGTGGCGGCGGCGGCGGAGGGGCCTGTCGCTCACTGCTAATCCCTTCCCTAGAGCAAGGCGCTGCAAGAGAGAAGCCAAGAGGAGGAGGAGGAGGGGACATGATGTTGGAGGGGATCTGGCCCCACTGTGAAGCTGGGGCTGCTGCCCTTCGCCACAGAGCGTGTTGGGCTGACAGTGGCTTTTGCAGTGACTTTGTGATTACCAAATCCCTCCCTGTCCCCCCTGCAGAGACCATCCTGGGAGCAGCCACCAGGCTGGGACCATCAGCCCAGGAGCTATTCCCACAACCCGCTGCCTGGCCCTGCCAATTCGCCCTCCCTAAGTCCCTGTGAGCCCCAACGGCGCCGTGTCGGGGAGCAGGACTGGACCTGGCCGGCTCCTCGCCCTGCCGGCCCCGCTCACCTTGGAGCACCTGGAAGCTGACGCTGAGCAGGGCGACGAAGGAGGCCACGAGGATGCATTTGTTGAGGGTCAGCCCTTCCCAGATGAGCGGCTCCTCCGCGGGGTCCAGGCTTTCGGGCTCCACTTCGCTCTTGACGGGGAGACTCTTGGGGACTGGTGGGACAAAGGAAGGAGCGTTACGGGGAGGGCAGGAGCAGCGGGTTTGCACTGCAGAGAGGAGGGAGGAAGGCAGCTTGGGGGAGTGGGGGCCAGCAGAGCTGCTCAGGCTGTGATCCCAGGGCTCCAACAGGGTCAATCTGCCCTTGTTCCAGTTCTGTCCCACCACGGAACCAGCAGCAAGTCCCATCCTCACTTCGGGGGGACCATGGCCTCTCAGTGGCGCTGAGCTCATGGGGACTGCAGAGAGAAGCGTTTCTCCCATCACGGCTCCGCATCCAGGGGTGCTTTCTGGGCTGCCCGGCGAGGCAGGGTTGGTGGGGGGGTCTGTCCCTGCCGTGGGCCAGGCAGATGTTTGAGGGCAGCTCAAACACCCACACGTGGAGATTTCCACACACCTACCTTGGGGCCCGGCAGCGCCGCCTTTCGCTCCCACCTTCTCCGCACACTTCTTCCCCTCCGCCGGCTCCGGCATGCTCAACGCCCGCTCGCCTCGAGCCTCCCCGGAGATGCCAAGTCGGGACCTCTCCTCCTCTAGGCCCTGTGCGGGGAGCAGCGGGTGTCAGAGCATCACACGGCAGCAGCCCCGGGGACGCCAGCAGCGTGGCTGGGCGGGAAGCAGGGCCATGACTGCGTGCGGGCGCCTGCTCCCAAGGCAGAGGGTGCTCAGAGCAGCGGGCTCAGGGCCCTGCAGATTCGTGCTCAGACTCTCTGAGGTCTAAAAGGGCTGAGCAAACGCTACTGCCGGACCCTGAGTGCTGCTAATGCAGTCTTTGGAGCATCCAAAACCCTGGCGCACGCATTTGCTTCATCTTAACATGCTTGGTAAAGGAAACACAGGCAGCTTTTTTTATTATTGTTATTTGCTAGGATCGATTCAGCCACTAGCTGGCTCCCTGCTGCAGGGAAGGCGCTGGGGTGCGACCCTGCCAGTGCGCAGGCACGCGCGCGTGCGCGGCTGCACCCCGAGGAGGCAGCGCTGGGCGCAGGCCCCGCGTCCCGCTGGGTGCAATCCCCTGAGCCCCACTGTGTGCAATCCCCTGGATCCCGCTGGGCGCGAGCCCCTGGGTCCTGCTCAGTGCAGCCCTCCCTCCGGCAGCCACTCTGTGCGTCAGAGGTGCTGGACTGGTGCCCTGAGCGAGCGCCGGTGGCCAGTGCGGCTCAGTGACAGCGACAGCTGAACGGGAGCCCTTTGGCTCCGGCGGGAGGGATGTGGGGCAATTCCGTGGGCACACCCTGCTCCTGGCTAAATGTCAGTGGGGGATGAGCCCCAGATTTGCTCCCCTAACAGGGGTCAGCTACACAGACCACAGCCAGAGCAGCCGGTG